CTGTTGGAAAACAGGTACGGATACCCCAACGGGAGATTGGCCGACACGGCCGCCTCCGTCTCAAGGGCGCCGAAAGGACCCTCGATGCGCACCCTGGCGACCGGCAGGCACACGCTATGCTCTTCGACCACCTGTTTAATCCACGCGCACTGTCCCGTGTACTTCGTAGAGTCTACGTAAGAGGGGTGAATCACATCCATAGTGGCGGCCGAATCGCGAAGCACTCGGCACTGCCTGCCGTTCACCGTTAGGTCGCGCAAATATGGCTCTAGTAACCGGAGGTTCTCTTCGCCATCGTTTACGTAGGCGAAGACCACCTGGGGCTCTCTGCATCCGGCCGCGACATGACCGGGCTTTTGGCAGTTATAGCATGTTAGGGGCCGGCGAGCCTCAAATGACTTCTTTTTCTCGTGATCCACCCTGCCATCGGCGCCGTCGCCGGCCTCTCCTTTCGTTCGCGCTGGTTCCTTCCGGTTTTCGCCCTCGACCCTCTTTGGCCGCCCGTCTCTCGAAAATCGACCCCCTGGCCACCTCCCGTCATCTCTTTTGCCAGGCGGGAACGCTTTCTCTTTACGCGGGTGACCTTTCTCGTCTAAGGCCCGGCGAGTCGCAAACTCTTCCGCCAGCTCCGCGGCCCTCTGAACAGCCCTTGCGTCCGGCTTATCCTGAACCCAAAGGCGGGTCTCCTCAGAGATGCGACGCAAGAACTGCTCTAGGCAAATGCACTCCACTACTTTATCGTGGTCCCCGTGCGCGTCTACGCCTTTGAGCCATTCCACTAGATTTGCTCTCAAATTGTAAGCAAACTCCGGAAATGACTCGTTCGGCTTCTTCTCGGCGCTACGAAAACGCTGCCGAAAGGCTTCAGCGGAAAGACGATACTTTCTAAGGAGGCTTGTTTTGACCTTTTCATAGTCCTCCGCTTCGTCTTTCGTGAGCCTTGCGACCACGTCTGCCGCCGGACAAGGAAGAAGCGTTAAGAGACGCTGCGGCCAGGTTTGCCTAGCGAACCCGACCTTTTCGCAAGTGCGCTCAAAGTTCACCAGGAACAAACCAACGTCCTCTCCGATTTTAAAAGGCTGCATTAAGTTCTTCATCTTAAATGATTTGCCTTCTCCTGTGCTGGATGCCGGGCTGCCCTCCCGATCACCCCTTGACTTTACTAGCTCGAGTTCAAGCCTCTTCATCTCGAGCTCCTGCTCTTGGCGTTTCAATTCCGCCTCTTGTCGTTTCAATTCTGCCTCTTGCGACTTGAGTCTGTCGCTCCGCTCCTGCTCTTGTCGTTTCAATTCCGCCTCTTGCGACTTGAGTCTGTCGCTCCGCTCCTGTTCCTCTAGTTCCCTTTTCTCTTTGTCTATTCTCTGCACTTCCTCCCAACACTCGGATAACTCGGCCTCATCTGTACCAAAGTCGAGAATTGCCTTGATAATGATCGGCTTTCTTTTTAATCCCCTGATATCCACACCTAACTCCTCGCAGATACGTATCAATTCTGGCTTACGCAGCGAATTGAGGTCCATGATCGTTCCGAGCACTGGCTAAATCCCAAAACTACTATTATGACGTGCAACAAATGCTGCGTCACAGATAGCCACAAAACAAAACACCCGCTTTACACTATTTAACCCAGAAGGTAAAGCCTGGTGAGTACTCAAAGGGAAAAGCCAGACACTCACCCACAAGTGTGATCAATGGTCTGCGTGGAGTCGATCCCACCGCTGCCACCAGTTGTTGCGTTCGGGAGGGTGGCGACCTCAGGCGCGGAACCAAGAGTTGGGGCTGCGGCTCGCTGCTACCATGGCCCCGAGGAAACAGGCCTGGAGTGGGAGTACTGAAGGAGAACTTTTATATACAGTGAATATACAAGAGCATGGTCGACTAATTAATCGGCAATCGGCAGTCTGCAGTCGGCGGCTTCGGGCTCTCTGAGCCCAAGTTATATAGCCCTTCGAGGGCGAGAAGGCCCTCTGAGAGAGAGGAGCCTTCCCCGGTGCTGGAGTGTTCACGAGGTGTCCGAAGTGCGGGGGCGGCTGAGGCAATTTCCCGGTGTTCTTTCAGCGAGGGGCAGATGATGTAACCCCTCGACGTTCTTGCCGCGCTCCAGTGGCTGATGTAAGGAGTCGACGTTCTTGCTGAAACTCAACACCGACAGACCCACACACACACAGGCACGCACACGTACGCCGGTGTTTCTCCTTGCGAGGGCCCGCGATTCCAGATGGTCTCGTGGCTTCAGGAAGACGTTCTGTTTTTAGTTTAAAGCCCCCAGTGAAGGCCGTCGCAACAGCACCCTCGTGCTTGGTGCCGCATCGTATGCACAAAGGTGATATGCACGCTGCTGCGACGTGCCCTAGTCGTCCACATAGCTTGCATTGTGTTGGCTTCTCTAAGTACTGGTTTACCTTGTGGCGTACGAAGCCAATGTGAACAGTATCTGGGGCATGTGAAGTTGAAAATGTAAGTGCTACAGACTCTGATATTCCCAGCCTGCGTACCCTTATGACGGAGGGTTCTGATTTTACGCATTCGAGAATTTCCTTCTCGGTGATGTCAACCGATACACCATGAATCACACCAACTGCCATACTGCTCGTGCGTGGTTCATATGCTCTTACTTGAATGCCACACAATGTGGTGATGCGCAGAAGTGTTGTGGTTGTGTCAAAGTTACGTGTGTCCACGGCGAGGATATTTAGTCTTGCGTTAGTGCGAATGCTTATGATTCCTTCTGGGCAGTTGGCTTTTAGAGCACTGGTTAGCTTGACAGGATTAAGGGTTTTTATTTTGATCTGTGGATCTTGCGGTGTAAATATGACAACGTTTCCTAGTGCTGTGCCGTTAGGAATGGTCGTGTTCGCACTAGATCCAGAGCTTTTCCGGACTCGCTTCTTTCTTTTAGGGAGCAGAAATTCGCCTTCATCATCAGTTGAAGCTTCGCAACTTGATATTTCAGTTTCTGTCTCATAAGTTGTATTTTTCTCGATAGCTTGTTGTGGGTCATCTTGCCTTTGGGATGTAGTAGCCGGTGGAAGTGGTGAGGTCATTACCAGTCCTTGCGTCTCGTTAGAAAGGTGCTCACTCATGAATGTTGAGGGTGGTAGGTCAGGCCCTGGGTTGCTCTTGAAAAGGGAAATTCGGCGTTGTGGCAATCTAGACGATGCAGATGATCGGGTCCATGGGGCCGATGATGTTTCGAAGCCAAATATTTAGACTTGGGATCTTCTGACAGCTCCGTGGTCTGTAGAGGAGGCTTCTAAGATGTCCTTTTCGTTGGTAAATGTTTTCAGAAACCCAAAAACGCAAAATTATTTGCAAAATTGCCGAGCACTAACAAAAAAGCGTTCGTAGAGCACGGCAGCTTCCTGGATGAGCTTCGTACCGGGAAGCGTTCGTGTAATCACTACTGCTTGGTGCAGTTGCGGTTGTATTGCACTGGCTAAATTTCGTATCTACAGTTAAGGGACAAGTCACCCGTCGTGCTAGCATCGAGTTTGTCTAAACATACAAGCGTCACAATTTTAAATGTTTCGTACCTTAATAGGTATTTCTTAAAAGTCTGCGCCAACGTTCGTCGTTGCTGGATTATACTTTGGCACGTATCGAACACGAAGCCCGCGTCAGGGTTCGGCGAGCGCTCGGATCCGATCACGCGCTTCGTGTCCGAGCAATGGCGACTGCCAATGTGGCTTGATAGACATTTAAAAAAAATGTTTATTGGCGTTCGAAAGCTTTCCCACGTAGAGCGTTGCTCTATCTGTGTTTTCAAGTGACACGACGCCGTAACTCTGATCAACTCGAGTACGTCTTGGAACACAAGTTCGCGGAGTACCGAAACTTAAAAGCTTCGTTACGGAACCGCCTTCGCGGCGCTGCAGTCTATGGCTTCAAAATGGCGGTCCTGTTTAGTCAAATCGAATCGGAGCGAGCCAGCGTTGTTAGAGCAACTCTGGCACCAACCTGTGCTGTAGCGCTGCTGCCGCGGCGGCAACTTTATCAGCTACCGGAGCGGAGAAGATGGACAGTCGTGCTGTGATACACGCGCACGCGCAACGTCACCACGAAGCGACGAAAACGAGGGGGAGGGGGAAGATGGCAGAAACGCGCGAAACACATGCACGACGAAACCGTCCGATCCGACGTACCAACTGCACGTCGGATCGGACGGGAGCGAGGGTTTTCGTAGCACCGGAGAGCGTTGAAAACCCTCGCTTCCGACCGTCGTATTGCCTGATCCGACGTCGGATCGGACGGTTTCGTCGTACATCGGTTTCGCGCTTTAAACCTGCTCAGTGATACACGCACAACGTGCCCACTGTCGGCCGCCGCAGCAACCGCTATGTGACTACGCAGCGTCCTCCACGGCCTATCCGGCGCGTGCCACGCCGCTTATCGCCTACCGTTTACGAATACGCGTCCGGGACCCATATCCAGATTTTCCGCCAGCGACGAGTCGATTTCGCTACTCGCGAATCCGCCCGCGCGAATCCTCATGTGTAAACGCGCCGTTCGACCTAAAGCGCAGACCGCATGGAGCGTTTTTCTGCACGCGAAAACGCGACGCGCTATGAACGCTCGCGCGGAAGCTGACGCGGGGGCACCCGCATGCACCCAAAGCCGAGCGGGCCGGCCGCGCGTTATCACCGTTGCCAGATAACAGAATTCTCAACGCGCGATGTAATTGCTCACGCAAATACTACAAAATAAGAGTTAAAGTAACAAATAAGTAAATAAAACGAGTTTTTGTGGCAAAACTAACACTTTTTTAATTTTTATGTGGCCAATAAAAATGTTTTTGAACATTTTGAATTGCGCTGAATACGAAACAGCGTACTGAGCCAGCCGCGTCGCGAGTGGTGTGTTGATCGGGTTGTTCGTGTTGCGTCCTCTCCTGCGCTGAAGTTCAAGTGAAGTTTACTTTAGTGGAAGCTCTATTTGCCAGAAACTGAGATTTGCTCTAGTCCAGTATGGAGCGAAAGCGAAAGCTCCTCCTGCTAAGAAGTATGCTTGTGCTAAAGCAGGCACAGCTGGAGCATAGATCATCTCCCTGGGTGCGTCCTGTGTGGCTGAACAGAAAGGTTGAAAGCGAATACTACACAGCGGTAAGCACCTTTTTATTACATCTGCCGTATAATTAACTTCAAAAATCTATGAAACTAACTTTTCCGTTTACTCTAGATGCAGGTCATGAGAGATCAAGATCCCCAGTTTTTTTTAAAGATTTTACCGCATGTCGCCGCAGCTTTTCGACAAGCTACACCGGCTTGTTGCCGAGAGGCTGACGAAACAGCACGTCGTGCGGGAGCCGATCACCTCCGGCGAGCGCCTGGCGATCACGGCAGAACCACTGCCGTGATTGCACCTGGTTTCTATTTCTTTAGCTGTCGACCCGTTGCTTTCAGCTTTGTCTTGTGTTCTCTTCATCTCTGTGTGTCGTCGTCCCAGTCGCGCTGTTTTTCAACATGAACCCATTACACTCACCACATTTTTTGCATTGATTAGACAAGCTCCCCACGAGTGGTGTGCCATATTCATTTACACATTAATTTTCTTATTTCCTACTTAGGGGTCAGTAGGCATGTCAACCTTTTCTACGCCCTGGGGACAAATGCACTTTTGTTTTGGTGAAAAAAATAAATTGTAATTTAGTATGGTGCACCTCTCGCACCTTCAGCATAGCATTCCAGTGGACAGTAGGTTACTTCATTTGACTGATTAGTTAGTTCAACCAGTTCTTGATTCAAGCCATGTGTCAATCCACATCCAAATTCAAATACCTTATTGTTAGGAGAAGCATTGAAATGATTATCAGTGATGGAAGTGCTGCGCCAATTGCGCCAAATTGCGCCAAGGACGCAATCCTGCTACATGTAGCGCCAAATTGTCATTTTACCGAAGAATTGCGCCATGCCTGCGCCGAGATGAGATGTAGCAATAAAAAATAAAAATTGAAGTCTTATCGGAGCGCGTGGCGGTTCCGCGGTATTTTCCGCGCCGCAACTGTTACGCAAACCGAAACTGCGAGGGCGCATTATCATCATCATCATTGAAAGGAACAACGTTAGCAACATCTGAGACCAAAGCCGCAGAGGCTAAGCGAAAAACCATCCCACTGAGCAGCCTCTTTAAAAAAAAAAGGCCGAGCTTGTGGATGTTTTCAATGTTGGCCCGCCTAGGGTGCCTCAATGTCCTTCTGTTTAGGGTGATGCCAACCATTGTTATACCCGATGCCGACAGCACGCGCTCACGGGAAAAATACAAAGAAATCGACGTGGGACAAAATGTCGCCATAGCACAGTCAGCGCCACAAACGCGTGCAGGGGCACGCTCTTTCACGCGCTTCTGAACAAAAAATGAAAATAAAAGTGTGGGTCAAAATGGCCGGATGTCTCCACCCTAAGTACAGTGTTCTAGAGGGTGTAGTGGCAAAAGCGGCGCCCGCTTACAATGAAGCGCGTGAAGACGGTCGACGTAGATACCGCGCGTGGCGCTGGAGTTCTGTGCCCTAGGAGAATTAATGGCACGTGTGCGATGAACGAAGAAGACGACGAGGGAGACGCGGTACGCTTCTCCAAAATGTAGCACCGTAGAACTTCTTTCGCCGCTATTAAGCCTGCAGCCCAAGTGATAGTGTTGCTGAACGATCTGTCAGTACTGGGGGGGGGGGGGGGGGAGTCGATATTAATTAAATACTCTTCCTCAAAACACGCAAATATTTCAAGTAGAGGATAGCACACACTCTAGAGGCATTAGTCCAAAGGCTGAACTAGAATTTTTATGGTGTACCGCAGGAAATGCTATAAGCACGAGCCCCTTGCTCTGGGGCAGATCTCGGCGGCACAAGCTCTCGTGCAGTAAGGGCAGCTGTCAACGTTATGAGCTCGCGCTTCCAGCCTTCGCTGCGGTACAACATAAGGTGAAACGGAGTATACAGAACTACGTTAGCAGTTGTTTCACACCGCGAAAAGCTACAGTCAAACCACAGTAGTAAGCGCCGAACAGCGCTGATGATGGGGCTGACGGGGGCGCGCTCCTAGGGCACAGAACAGCAGCGCCATGGTGTCGTCTACGCGCAAAATCTTCACAAAGCAGCCGCCGCTTTTGCCACTACAACCCCCTCTAGAACACTGTAACCCTAAGCAAAGCGCACATGAAGGCACCCTAGGCCCGCCCTGTCCCCTTGCGCTAGCTACCAGCGAAGTCAAAGCTAGCGCGAGCCCAATGCTCTGTGCATTCCTGACTCGTGCGTGGGCACGTGCAGTGTGGGCAGCGTTACGGGCTCCATGCGCGCGCTTGTAGCTTCGGCTGCGCTCACACCGAAGCTGAAACGAAGTATAGTTTAGTTGCACCAAACTCTGGATGTAGTGCTGGTAAAGCCTCACCGTCCTTTTCGGAGCACAAAGCACTGCGCGACTTGCGCGACTGCGGTGTCTGCCCCGAGGGTGTCGCTTCTCTGCAGCGCGTCCGTGCATGCCAAGGAGCGCACTCAATGGGTTAACTCGCCATGGTCCGATCGTGACTTCGCCAGCACATCGAAAATGAATCGGAATTTTTGAAGCGAATATCAGATACCGCAATATTTGAAGCTGCTGCCCGAAAGACAGCTCTAATCTGAACTAGAACATTCCACAACAGTGAGGGTCGTTAGATGCTGCTGCAGATACCTTAAAAGAAGCGCAGGCTGATAAAACTAAATATACTGTACCATCAGAACACAGTGTGACATATTTAATTGTATTTTTTTTTATCTGACAAGCAGATAAACTTTATTAAAAAAAAAATGTTTTTCTTGTGTTTACTTTGTTGAATCTTCTATATCTTGTCTTAAAAAGGCGACAGGCGCTGTGTTCCAATAATAGAGATGGGCTTTATATATCAATGCAGCATTATTTCATTTTCAAGTAATATGCCAACATATGCCGGACCCTGCTCCAAAAGGGCCACTGCCGGCTCCAAAACAGCATTTTGCCTGCTACAAGGCCTGCTCCAAAAGATCAAATGGCACTTCCATCACTGGATTATACATGCAATAAAAACTGTATCAGGACAGTGGAAGATCAGTAATTCAAACTAACATGCAGGTCACATCCGAATCTTATCATTTGAAAGCTATAATTTGAACTCCGCATTATTCAAAGAAATTTTTGGTCCCATTCGAGTTTGAATTAACGAGATTCCACTGTACTGATTGTAGGTAACAAACAGAATGATTAATTTTTCTATAAGATGGTCATCTTTTGTACAGGTACTTATGCTCTGGCAATCCCATCATGGATATCGCCATGGAGTTCCGGGTCGGCCTTGAGACGGCCCGTGAAGCAATTCACTTGACGTGTCAGGTGTTGTGGGAGGAGCTGGCCCCCCGTTACATGAAGGTATGTACGATAACAAAAGTTTAGCTTATATGTCTGAAATGTTTAGGGAAACAAATCCGCCTGTTGCCAAGTTTTCTAAGGTTACGAACACTTTGTTTTGTGCCGTAACCTGGTGCCAAAACTAGTTTCACGGTGCATAAAGAGTACATGGCCTATAATAGTACTTGTGGAATATAATGATAGTTATTGTTAAGTGATTTGTTATTCTTTGCAGCCTCCCAGTGAACAGGACTGGCAAACCATCGCAGATGCCTATTGGATGCGGTGGCAATTCCCAAACTGCCTGGGGGCTGTCGATGGGAAACATGTGCAGGTTGAAGCACCAGCCAACTCGGGCAGCCTCTACCACAATTACAAGGTATAGAAAGAAGAGCTAAAATCAAAATTCAATGCATGCAGATTTTGTGCCCTAAAATTTGCACATGTTTACATCGAGGCTTGTTCTAAATGCACTTGTACCATGCTCATTTTTTTCTTTTCAGGGCACTTTCTCTATCGTGCTGATGGCTGTGGCCGACAGCAGTTACGTCTTCCGGCTGATTGATGTCGGCGCTCCTGGTCGCATGAGTGACGGCGGGGTCTTAAAGAGGTCCCCAATTGGCCAGCGTCTCCAAGCTGGCTTGCTCGGACTGCCGTCCCGTGCCCAGCTCCCCGGCTCCAAGATGATACTGCCCTACACATTCCTGGGCGACGAGGCCTTCCAGTTGAGGCCCGACTTCATGAGGCCATATCCTGGGTCGAGGGAGGAACCAGCCGAGCGCTGTTTCAATTACCGACTGAGCCGTGCACGGTGGGTCAACATAAGGCATTTCATTTGGCACATTTACAAATAAATTAAATTACATGCTAGTGTTACTTTAGACTCTCTTGTCTGACAATTTACCTTCCTGTATATCTCTGCTTATGGGTCCTGGCGTTCTCGGGGTCAGGGAGAACACCAATGTTCACGACATGATCAAGGACCTTTAGTTCACCATAGGTGAACCGACACTTTGTTGGCTTGAGTGACATGCCGGCAGTCTTGATGGCTTGAAGCACGGCTCAAAGTCGCCTCGTCTTGGATGTTTGTCGAAATCCCATGAAAATACCACGACATCGTCCAGGTAGACAAGGCAGCTCTGCCATTTCAGACCTGCTAGCACGGTATCCATAACACGCCGGAAGGTGGCTAGTGCTACACAAAGTCCGAACAGCATCACTTTGACCTCATACAGTCCATCGGGAGTGACAAAGGCAGTTTTCTCGCCTTTGTCGAATTCAAGCTACCTGCAGTCACTCTTCAGGTTCATGGACGAAAAATATCGGGAGTGGCGCGGTCGGTCTAACGTATCGTCGATGTGGGGGAGCGGATAGTCGTTCTTAGTCACAGCATTCAGTCGACGATAGTCCACGAAAAAGCTCAGGGTTCCGTCCTTCTTTACAAGGACGACTGGCGATGCCCACGGACTTCTTGAGGGTTGAATGATGTTGTCGTCGAGCATCTCCTGCACTTGATCTTGAATCACCTTCCTTTCCTTTAAGGAGACTCGGTACGGCAAGTGGTGGACAGGGAGCATGTCGCCGTCGGTAACAGTGCAATGTTTCGCCACTGGTGTTTGGCGAACTTTCGAAGACGTGGCAAGGCAGTCGCTGTATTCAGCGAGAATATCAATTAGTTGCCAGCGCTTTGGAGCTGGGAGCTCGGGGTCGATGTCGAGCTGCAGCAGCAACACGCTTTTGTGCTGTGATGGCGAGGTTTCCTCAGAGATTGCGGTGACCACGACTGGCACCTGAAGCTCCTCAATGTGGCCCACGGTGGTACCCTTTGTTAAGTGCTGCGGGTCCTTGCGAAAGTTTGTCACGAGAACAGTTGTACATCCTTCTTGGAGGTCTGTTATGCCTCATGCGACGCCGGCGTAGAAGATTCAGCGCGTAGAACATTCCGACTTCGAACAAGCGACAGAGTTCTAGAATTTGCCAGAACGCGACAATTAGAAAAATAACAAAAAGGTGCCTCCGTTACTAGGTATCGAACCTCGACTCTGCGTGGGAGCCACACTATAACTGTTCGGCCACGGGTGCGCTGCCTAGTTGGTCAGCTGTGCGCGCGGCAATACCAAGTTCTATGAATAGGGAACGACTTTGCTGCTTGAAGAAACAAGAAATGTACGGTGTCCAATAATGAGTTTCCCTGTAATCTATTGACTGTGAATTGCCGATGGCATATCGACTGGTCTCGCTGATCTCGTGCTTCTACATGATGGCATAGAATAATGGGTATAAACCACTTTTGGTGTATACTTTAAACTGCTTTGAAGACAGATTGCACACAGGCAACTCACACCTCAGATTTGCTTGCTTTTTTTTTTTTTTTTGTTAGTAAATGTGATGCTGTTTTTTTTCCTGCAGGAGGTGCGTCGAGAACTCATTTGGCATTCTGGCTGCCAGATTCAGAATATTCAGGGGGCCCATTAAGCTAAAACCTGAGAACGCAGAAAAAGTTGTGAAGGCCTCCTGTGCTCTGCACAACTTCTTGAGCCTTGAAGTCGAAGGGCGGTCGGCGTACTGCCCTGCGGGCTTCGCAGACCATGAGGATGCCTTCGGCAAGGTTGTTGAGGGCCAATGGAGGAAAGAAACTGCCACAGACACGGCCACCTTCGACTTGGAGCCCACCCACGCAAGGAGGAGTAAGGAGACAGCACAGGCAGTGCGTGACCACTATGCGCAATTCTTCATGAAGGAAGGAAAAGTGCCCTGGCAGTGGAAGATTCTAGATATAAAAGAGCCAGACAACTGAACATCTTTGGACAAGTGGAGCACTTTGCTTACTTTACAGGTTTTTAGTCTGTGGCAGTTTTTATTGTAATTAGTGTGTAAAAAAGAGCCAAGAACGTTTTAGAATAAAAGAACATGAGTGCATCAATACTGTTCTTTCTCTTGCACGCTCAAATTATGTGTACAAAAATGACCAAACAGGAGACAAGGTAAAGCCCACAGAAGACAGTATTTCCTCATTTATTTACAAGGTGGATACTTTGCCGCAGTTTGCAGCAGCTCAATCTCCATGGCAGACCGTTGTTGCTTTGGGCACTGGCGGAGCTTCTCGGCTATCACTGAGCCGAAGTGTTCGGCTGAGTCTGTTTCCTTACATGCCAGTTGGCCAAGCAGGTTGATTTCTTTATCAAATGGCTTCTCGGCGCGTCGTTTCTTCTGAGGTGCGCCTGGTGCACCATTCATACCGATAGTAGAAACTGGATATGGACGGCTTGACGATGCACTTGGGCACGGTGGCTCTGTCACATTCATAGGCTCTTGGGACTCTGGCAGGATGCTTGCATCAGCGCTTGTGTCATCGCACATATGTTGGAGCAAAAGCTGTGCAGGGGAGAGCTCGCAGGCTCCTGTTGTGTGCGACCGGTCCTCCATTGCTGGCAAGTTTCCGCTGGTCCTAAATATGCAAGAATCAGTTATAAGACATTCACTTAATGCTTCTGAAGACATGTAATCTTTGTTTTTCAGAGTGAAATCAAGCATTTGCACTGTCAGTAAAACATAACTGACTCTAGCTGTCTGGGATACATTGAAACAAACCGCATTACAGGATACCCATATACGAGGCCTCAATGACAGCGAATTGTGTATTGACATTTTGAGACGTAATGGTGTAACTACACCAGGAGCTGGCTTGTTTTCCTAGTTTTCATCTGTCCACTACATTCATTAGATCTATGCCAATAGCGTATAGCTCTCCACTGATATTTCATTCTGTTAACAGAGGTCTGTTGAGCCATGTGCAGTTATGTTCAGTACAAATGAATAATTATGAGGACTACAGAGAACAAGTGCAAAGAATTATTTTACATACTGTGTATATTCCAAGGTGTCGTTGAGAAACGTCATCCGCTTAAAATATGCCCAGCAGACCACGACAACTTCGTCCGCACCTGCTCCACTTCTTGGGGCATTGACATCTCTTTTCTTTTTAACATAAGTGTCACGTAGTGACTTCCACCGCTTCGTTGCTTTTGGCCCTGTAAAACGTAAAAACATATACATTCTGGGAATGGGTGAACATCAAGAGCACCTTAGACTTTTGATAAACAAGCCGGCGAAGAGGTGGCAAAGAGTGAGTGACAAGATCCGTGCTCCAGATTCAGTGACATTCTTGCACAGGAGACTGATATTTCTCTATCGGTCAAAGTTATGTGACCCGATAAAAGGAAATTAAAAAAAAAAAAAAAAAAGGTTATGCATGCTGTGGTGCTGTAGCAAAAAAAGTGCAACTAGGTGGTACAAAGTTTTGTTAAAACATTAAAAGAACATAACCAGTCATAACCTGCAAATATAGACATTCGACTACCGAGAAGAAAAAAAAAACACGTTTGGACTAGGTAAATGTTTGATCTAAAGAGAAGGAAGAAATTCGCTGCCCTAGCCTTCTTCATTTTTTTTTTTTTTTTTTGTTAGGAGGGATTGGTGGTTAACGTTGTCGGTGGCCGAGTCGTTTAGCGCACACCAGCTCGGAGCACGTGGACCGAAAGCTTGCGCTGCAGAACCCAGGGATCCTGGGTTCAATCACCACCCCTGCCCGTTTCGATCTGGATGAGCATCATACCGGCGTACGGTCATGTATCACTACTGCGTGGTGCACAAGAACCCAGGCGTGCGGTGGTACTGCACTGGCTAAATTGCTAATCTACAGCTGGGAATTGTATAAACAAACACACACCCCAATTTTTTTTTCTGTTTAATTAAACGGCACAAAACGCGTTTTTTTCCCCCTCGGTGTCATGAAAAAAACTGTCTAGATCCGTAGAAAAATTATCGTGTTCAATGGCAACGTATAATCTGCGCACCGTTGTGACAAAGCACAAACTATTTCCCCTTAGTAAAACACTATACGATAGAATTGTACGATGACAACGCGTAAAAAGCAGCATGCACATGGTGCTTGTGGCACCAAAGCGGAAGGGCAAAGAAAACACATACCTTCCACTCCCAGGATAGTACCTATGGTATTCCAGACGTGTTTCTTCTTGTCATTATTTTTATACTCCTTATCTGATAGGTCCCAACGAATGGGGCGCTTCTCAACCTCGTCAATGAGCATTTCATTGAATGCACGTTTGTCAACCATCGCACGTGCAATCGGCAAACAAAAAGAAGCGCAGTCAAACCGGCAAAACCGGAAGCGGTTTTCTGTGCAGAATCGATGGATGGATGGATGGATGAATACGGCTGACCCCTTTGGATCGGGCGGTACCTTACGCCAACTAGCCATGCGATGGTTCGAGCGACTCTCATTGGTCGAGAGCCGCTTCGACGCCTCGGCGCGCGCGTCTTGTTCTGGGGCGGCTAGAAACCAACGCTCCCGCGAAAACGCGCGGCCGCGCGCAGGAAATGACGTCGATTTGACGCCGACGCGCCTGAATCGCGAGCAAAAACGCTCCATGCGGTTTGCGCTTAAGAGAAAAAAATGTTCCGCGCAGTGACCGGAGCATGACGTAAGCACGTGAAACGTCATGCTCAATGTCCGACCGCAAACTTCTTTTTTTTTTTTTTGAATACGTATTTTTAGCTTCGCCATTGGCCGTAGGTTTCAGCGCTGTTCCAGATGCCTCGAGGGAAAGAAGGTTCTCCAGATTTCTGAGAGTGCCGGCATTGGCCACTTGGTCGGCTGCGATCAACATGGCCGAGAGGCGGCCGCGAGCGAGTGTGCTCGTCCCCGCACCAGCCGGCGGCGAGAACCTGGACAGCTGCTCCCGATGTGGTGCGCCATACTTCCCTCGCCGGCCTCGACGGGGGGCTCCGGGAAGGAAGCTGGGCTCGGATGGAAAATCCATAGCCGACACTAAATTTAGGCTCTCCCACACCCGCATCCTGTATACACCTCCCACGCCGATGGCGCTTGCGGTGTACGGGAACCTTCGCTATACTCTCGTACCAGGACGCCTGCGGTTGGTTCCAAACTCACTTTATAGCGCGCGACCTCTTCTACGAGGAACGGCGCGTGGCGAGGCACATTTCGAGGACGCTTAAGAACATGTCGCCTTCTCTGTCGGTGCGGTGGAACAGTCCTAGTATCTTTTTCGCCACGTCATCACGTTCCTGCCCATACCCAGGCGTCGAGAGCGGGGTCAGGTGACGAAAGGGAGGGAGGCGGTTGATTGGTCCGGTGAGCGGGATGATGGTGATGTGGCGGCTGCTACAGCACCGCCACCTTGGGAGCGAACGGAGTATAGTCAGCGCGACTACTGGACAAAAAGACAAACTTTGGTCAGTATACATGCCACAGAACGAATGGACGCGGCCATTCCGTCGAAGCTTCGCGGGGCACTCGGAGGTTCGAGCCCGAGATCGAGTTCCATGATTACGGTTGTGGTCCGTCTCAGAGTTTTGCCAGTATTCCGCACGAGAGGGCGCTAGTTGTCTTATTGCTGCAGCGGACTGCATTGTTAGGTTGGTGCTCGCAACTCCAACCTTCTGCTTTTAATGATTCCTGCTTCTCCGTTTTACATTTCCGCCGCCAGGGCGCGCCAGCGTTCTTTGTACATTTGGATAGGCGATAGCTCCCCGCTCTCCCCTCTTTCACGTCTTTTCCCCGGGTTGACGCCGCGCCCTTGGACTTGCGAATGCGTCAGTGCTGTAGGCTTAGAGGCAAGGAAAGTTGCGAGATACATTATTCGTTAGCCGCACGTAAGAGGAACATTAGCAATAACAATTAACGCACGTTGCGTTGTTACCTTTTTTGTTTAGTAATAAAAGGAACTTTCTACAATTTCTTCATTATGTATCCTCCATGAAGGCCATTTACATCTTTCGTTTCTCATTTATGAGGCTCGAAATGCACCGGGAAGGAGTGTAAATGGTCAGTAAATTTTTCTATAAATATACTCCTGACTTGCAGTCTGGAAACGCTAAAATGTTTTTAATTAACTTTTCTTTCGAATATGGGGACGTACACTATCGGCAACATGTGACCAGCCACGTAATCCCCGTACGTTTGTCAAAGAATAACAGCGAGGGTCGTTACCCGTTGCTGTTTCGAAAGTGTAACGAGTCCGTCAGTGCGTTACCGAAAATCGTAACGCTTTACCGGTTGCGTTTTTACGTGTGACGCCTTACCGCTAACTCTCCAAAGCACGACCTCTTAGTTCACTAACAAGCTGGACATTGCTCACGCACCGAGACATGTTTCTCGAAGAGAGACATGGTCCGGGAACGCCGTCAGATCATTGGAAGCTTTAACTGTATACATGAAAAAAAAAAGTTTTTGTGTGTGTGTGGTTATTTACGATTTTGGGACGTCGATACTTCCAAGAAGTCGCAGTGAAATTTCAACAACTCTAATTAAATTCCTTTTTTTTTCTTGAAGTGTGTGTCTGTGTGTGTGTGTGGGGGGGGGGGGGGGTCATACTTGTAGATGTGCGAATACTGCCTCGAATTGAATAGCGCAACTTCAGTCCTAGCTGGGGCTGGCTCTTTTGAACTTTACTAAGCAGATCACTAAAACAGCCGTAGCATCTTACCTGCAGCCGATCGCAACTGCCCTTGCGACTAGGCCAGTCGTACTTTTTGGGGTTTCGCGGTACGAACGTTGTGTCACACTTTGTGTCACATATGCAGCTGATCACAAGGGTTGCCATCATGCCCGAGCCGGTGATTTCGGTTTCGCCGTTGACTCCCGAAACGAGACTTTGATGTATCTACAAAAACTACACAAAACGTAAAAATGGACAGATTGTAAATTAAGGACACTTCCTTCACTAGAGACGGTGGTAACCCTAAAATTTGGAA